ATCTTATGTAATGTAATTTTTGAGTTTTCTGTTCTGCATTTCGATCTAAAAAATTAGAGGCAATGCCCAAAAATGCAACTGTGTGGTCAGCCTCCAAAGTTGCTGGCTTCTTTAACATGTCTTCATTTGGTGATTACTTAACACCCACCACTTGCCTCATGGAGTCTGTCTGCGGGGGATCCGGGGGTTCAGTAGTGGAAACTGCAGACCAGGTTGTACAGGTAAAAATATTTAGTGTTGATCGTTTTTATTATATCTGAACTTTTGGCAAATAAGATTGTAGATTTTTCAAAAAATATTTTGAAACAAACTACAAAAATATATAATGAAGGAAAATGTTTAATTTCTTAACATGCTCAGATATCTCAGATACTTTGCAGTGGGAGTCTTGCACAGCAGGAAATGAATGTCTATGCTCTGGCTATAATGTACCTGTGACGCTTCAGTTTCCCATTGAGTGTAAAGTTTAAAACTTTAAAAGTTAAAACTTTCCACATGAAATTTCTCTCAATTTATTCTTTGTTTTTTTTTTAATATATATAAATGGCTATGAAATGTGGTAGTATTTATTGTTTGAAGGTTTAAAAGGTTTTTACTCCTGACACTGTTTATAATTACTATTTGTAAATTCAGTCCCTTGTCTTACAGCATTTAAACTCTGTGTATCTGTGTGTGTGTGTGTGTGTGTGTGTGCGCGCACGCGCGTGCGTGCACGCATTCATATAAAAAACGTAGTTGAGAGTCTCTACCAAGGGCTACTAGTCAGGGAAAGATAAACATTTTATCTTACTCAAGTACGTTAATAAAGCGTAAGCAAATGTTTGCCCAGACCCCCGCACTTGCTCACTGCCAGTGCACTTTTCTGTGCTGTCACAGTCTTCGCGTCCTCTCACGCCCATGTGCTCACTTCCCTGAGTCTATTTACCATCTTTAAGCTTGCCTTTAGTTATTTAGAAATACGAAGATTTCTTTCTCTTTCCCTTGTTTTTAGATTTTTAATTTTATGTATATGTCTGAGTGTGTATGAACATGTGTGTGCAGGTACCATGGAGGCCAGAAGAAGTCATTGGATCCCCTGAAACTGGAATTACAGGCAGTTGCAAGCCTCTGGATGTGGTTGCTGGCAACTGAACCCTCTGAGGGTAGCCAGCACTCTTAACCACTGAGCCATCTCTCTAGCCCTCAGTGATGTAAGGATTCTTGATTGCCTTTTGAAATGTATTTCACTTACACTATCCTGGTGTTCTCCTCCATCGTGGAACACAATGCAGAGTGTCACTTTGTCTTCTCCATCTCCTTTTTATACTAACTCCATAGATACTCTCTCTACTGGAGGGAGGGAAGAGACAAGAGGAGACAGCACACAGAAGAGGAAATCAAGAATCGTATTGCTTATTCTAAACCCTCCCACTCTTTTAAGAAAATGGACAGTTGTGCCAGCCATTGATGTGGTTATTTGATCTTGAGGCTGGTGGTGGATCATCTGTTGGTGTTTTCCCTTGGCACTTTCAAGGCGCTCTCCAAAGCTATGAGAGCCGCCTTCAGGGGAAGTGGCTGCAGGTCAGTGGCAGCTCTATTGCTCCAAATCCTGTGTCCGACCTATGTTCTGTCTTTGCCAGTAGGGTCTTACCTTCAAGTTCTGGAAGGTCATCAAGGGCTGTGGCAATAGCCTGAGTAATTTGGGGAGTCTCTTGGACCACCCTGGCCAACAACTCAAAGTTTCTCCTGCCTGGCGCTGTTTCTTGTTGTGTAGCCTTTATACACATGGACTCATGTAAAATAATGTATGTATAATTTGACAGTAGGTTGTTGGCTAATATGGTTCCTTCTGGTTTTTTTAAATTAGCTAGGCATTATTTATTTCTCCTCTCTTTCATTGTCTAGTTTATGTTAGGCATCGCGTTAAAAATTCAGAATCCTAGAAAATGCCCACTAACCCCGACACCTTCAGTATTCAAGTCTTTTAACTGTGATAACTTAAAGACAAAAGAAATACAAGTAGATGTTGTTTAAGTTTTTCAACTAGGTCAAGTTTCAAAACCATGCTTAGGTATTTTTCATGGTCTGCCTGTGATACTTGCTTACTGACCTTTCTGTCAGGTAGGTGAAATCACATCACTGGACTCTGGCTTCCCATTGGGAAGAATTTGAGTTGTTACCAGGTCAAACCAGGAAGATATTTAGACAGAAGATCATCTTTGGAAAAATGGCTCAGGGAGCGACTGGAATATGCAAAGAGAAATGCTGATTTTAAGAAACACGAAAATCAAATGGGAATTGTTACGTGTGCTAAGAAGACACCATTAAACGTTAGTTTGATGCCTGCTCTTTAATTTCTGTTGCTGTGATAGAACAGCTGGGCCAAAAGCAGCTTAGGGGAGAAAAGGGTTGTATGACTTACAATTCCAGGTGACATCATTGAGGGGAGGCAGTGCAGTAACTCAGGTATCTGGTCACTTCATAGGAGAAAGCAGTGAGAAAGGAAATGTGTTCCCCCCCTCCTCTCTCTTCCTCTGTCTTCTCTCTCTCCTCTTTCTCCTCTCTCTCCTCTCTTTGTTCCTCTCCTACACCTATCAGGACCTCTGCCTAGGGAATGGTGCTGCCCACCATGGGCTGGGTCTCCCTACATCAACTAACAGTCAAGAAAATCCCTGACAGACATGCCCACAGGCAACATGATCTAGAATCTCCCTCAGTTGAGGCTCTCTTCCCAGGGGATCCTAGGCTATGGCAAGTTGACAGTTAAAATCCACCACAATTCCTCTTCAGAAACCTTGTACTATTGTACTTTCATCACTAAAAGACGTTTTCAACACAGCTCTTAGACACCAGAGGAAGAAAATGCAAGGTTTCCCGGGCTCTTCCCTTTTACAGCCATCACTGAAACAGCAGCCGCCAAAATGAAGTTCATGTTCAATCCCTTTGTGACTTCTGACTGAAGCAAGAGCTGCAAAAGGCGTTTCAGTGCACCTTCTCACATTTGGGGGAAGGTTATGTCCTCCCCTCCTTCCAAAGAGCTGAGACGGAAGTACAGTGTTCGGTCTCTGCCCAGCCAAAAGGATGGAGTTCAGGTTGTACAAGGGCACCACCATGGTGAGCCGCTTTGCAAAATGGTCCGGGTTTACAGGAAGAAATAGCCATATACACTGAGGGGTGCAGCCGGAAAAGGCTAACGACGCGACTGTCCGCGTGGACATTCACCCCAGCAAGGTGGTTATCACCAGCTTAAACCCGAACAAAGACGGCAAAAAGATCCCGGAACCAAAAGCCAAATCTCACCAGGTAGGAAAGACGAGCAAATGCCAGGAAGACCCATGGAGGAGAAGCAGGAGTGCAGTCTACATTCGGCGGTCACTGAAAACCACCTAAATGAAAAGAACATTCGTCCCGGTGTTTTCCTGTTGGCTCTTCATGGAAGGACAGAAAATCTGAAAGGATGAACGATTGAAAACTGAAAATATCTGGAGACAGACCACGGGGAGGAAAGCAGTGTGAACGATTAGGCTTTCCAGTGCCCGTGGACCTTATTTCCCCAAAGCAGTCTTAGAATTACCCCTGGATCTTCAAAAACAGCATCTCAGAATTTGCTAATTTATAACTAAGGTATTGAACAATGACACAAGAACATTTTTTCTGAGGGGCAATAGAATGTAAGACTTTGAAAGTCCAAAATGCAAAGATGTTTTAACTCTTGTATATTCCCTGAAGACCCACCATGCAGTGCATTAACAGTTATTGGAAGATGGTGTTTGGATCATGAAAAGTTACCAAAGATGTACACTTTGTATGTAAAGTGCACAGGTTCAGAAGTTCAGAATTCCTTCTTAGGGCTCAGATTATTCAAAGTCATCAAGTTCTGCATGTTTTTATGTTTGATTTCGTTTAAGTATATCTAGGGCCTTTAAAAATGCTATTTGTGGGGCTGGAGAGGTGACAGCGGTTAAGAGCACCGGCCGCTCTTGCAACGGACCGGAGTTTAGTTCCCAGCATCCACATGGTGGCTAACAACCATCCATCTCTCCAGTTCCAGGGGATCTGAAGCCCTCTTCTGACCTCTGCAGCATTGCAGGACGCAGACGCGCTCACATACATGCAGGCAATACACTCATACACATAAAATCAAACTAATAAATAAAATATTTTCTAAACGCTGTTTGTCCTTAATGATTTTTTATTCTTTCAGGACGCTAAAGGGAAAGATCGCCAACGGCTGCAACAGCAAACAGAACTGCAAAGCCTGGACTTCAGTGTCCCAAGGACTTCGGTTACCGTTTTCCCTTTTCTGTGCTCTGCCGCTGCACTCAGATGCCCAGGGCATTTCTGGATGCCTTATTCAGTAACCAGCTCCATGTGAGGCAGTAAACGCGCAGTGCATTTCTCGCTGGCAGCTGAAATTGTGTTACTATTGTGGATTTACAGTTTTGTTTTTCTGTGGTGCAGGATATGAGCGGACCCACTCTCAATTTTTAACATGGCATCTGGGGATCCAGTACCGGGAGGAGGACGTGCAGGAGCCCGGGCTGGGAGGAACACCAGGGCTTCCCAGCAGCAGGCGCCAGGGGAAGTGGTAACCGGACACCCGGTCCGAGGCCAAGGTCCTTCCAGGTGGAGGACAGTCCAGGATCCACTGCACGCGAGGCCCTTCGTCTCAGAATCCAGGACCTCATTCACAACGGTTGGGTTAGATTGTCTCCCACGTTCAACACAACACCGAACGAAAGCTGTGAGAGGGCAGAGCCGAATTCTAGTTCCTTCCCTAAGTGGAAACAGGCCTGGGCGCAGCCTTTTCTAAAATCCGCTATTTAAACAGAATTGTAAGAACCCCGTTCGTTCGGGTCTGCAGTTTGGAGTGGACAGTCGCCCAAGTTGCTGGAAAGCGCTGGCCTGTGAGTGTGCAAAGTCACAGGCCGGGGAGAAAACGTGTCCACCCCGCAGTTTTCACACTGTGCTAAAGCCTCTGACTGTGCAAAGCCCTGGCGTTAAATCTGATCCCCTCCCCGCCCCCCACCCTCTCTCCGTCGGGTTAGTGTTTGGGGGGGCAGGGGCTGGAGCTCGGCCCCAGCCGGAATTGCTGCCAAGGGCTTGTAACACAATCTCTCCCGTTTGAAGGGTAAATCGGTGTCTACCGCGTTTGCTGTCCGGCAGAAAAAGTAAGCATTTCACTTCCGCTCGGTCTACGCGGGCCGATGGCGAGGGGGGATTAAAATAGTCTTCCCCCCGGCACCGAGAGGAGCCACCGCAGGAGCACGCGGAGCGGCCGCCGCAGGGGTGCGGGCCGGAGCGGGGGCCGCCGAGCCGCCGCAGCCCCGCGCCCAGAGCCGGAGGGAGCCCCGGGACGAGCCCTGCACCCCGCACCCCGCGCCCCGCGCCCCGCATCCCGAGCCGGAGCCCCGGGACGAGCCCCGCACCCAGGGTGAGCGCGCTCGCAGGGCGCCGGCGGGGGGGGGGGGGGGGGCGCGGAGTCCCTGGAGACGGGCTCCATCCCTGCATCCCTCAGCATCCCAGAGGACCCGGGCGCCAGAAGCCGGCTGGTACCGGCAGCCAACCAGGGGCGGAAGTGAGGATGCCTCCTCGGCGCATCGGTATCCGTGCACACAGGCACGGTGTAAAAGCGTGTCTGCAACGTAATGCGTGCTCCGTGATTGGGGGAGGGGGCGAGAGGGACGTGGGGGGGTCGGCGGCTCAGGGCGCTTTCCAGAGGTCGAGTCAGTGGGAGCCGGAGGGGGAGGGGTGGTGATGCCTGCGGTTTGGTGCTGATTCTGTTATCTTGGGGACTGTGGTAGAGTTGAGCTTTCTGTTTTTAGGGGTTGTTTGTTTGTTTGTTTTCTTTCACACGCGAGAACAGCCTTCAGCCTCCAGAGACGTTTGTATTTCTCCGTGTTCTCCTTTTAGTTCAGCCGGAGTTGACTGGAGTTTGAAACTGTTTAGGGAGCAAAAGCGCCAACTTTTCTTTGAACTGTTAATTATCCCACCAAAATTAAACCGCGTCCGCTCTGCATAAAGTTGACTTGGTCCACACGTCCTGAGTTTCTAGAGTGGGACTCGGAGAGGGGCAAACTCCAGAGTTAACACATGCTTTTCACATTCTGGCGCTGCTGAAGGTGGAGGAGATGTGGTGGGGGCAGTCCGTACCTTTCCATCTCCGCGGTCTTCCCACCCTCCACCCACCCCTCTCCAAAGCTTGAAGAAAGGTGAACAGATCTTTATGCAGACCGCCCATTTGGCCTCCTGGTGTTAAATAAGGGCTCTGACCGGTTAGGTCTGGTTGGGTCTGTGGCCACCTTGCGCGGGAAGAATTTTGACACCTGTCCCTGGAGACTCTCAGAGGCGGAGACGCTCAGAGGCTGGGCTCAGGACAAACCTTGGCTCCCTGCTGCATCGCCTCAATCTTTTAGGTCTGTGCCTGCTTACTGAAGCTCTCATCTGATGTGCCCTCCTGGTCTTTGGCACTGATCAATGCGTTGCTGCTCAAGGAATGCTCTGCCCTAACTCTGGAAACAGTGGTGGTCCTTCCCAACATGGCTGTCAGGGTTTTGACTGTCTAAGAGAAGGTGAGAGCCGGAGGCAGGAAGACCTTTTGCCTTGACCGTCTACTTTGGAGCCTTTGCTTAGGGCTACCTGAAAGGTTTCTGACTGGGAAAGGTAGTTTGGAATTCAGCCTGTGTGCCGCTAGACTTAGGCTTATCTCTTTGTTTTGTTGCTTAAACACCCTACTTTTGTGCTTTGAGTTTTCTAGTACCTTGGTAACAAACCTTAGTTAACTCTTAAACTTGAAGGTATGGTAAAAATCTTGTCTTAATTTAACCTTCAGCGAACATGCATGCTCAGATTTTGCTTCAGGACTGAAAGTCTGCCAAGCAGGTGGTGGGAGCCAGTTGAAGCCATCAGGTGCTTGAAAACCAAGGGACATCCGTTTGCAGGGATTTCTGTTCAGAACTTCTGCAGGTGTGCCAGTGGTGCTTTGGTGTTCTCGGTTTTGTCCTGAGCAAGATCCTCTGTCTCCTTCACATTTTATGAACTACTTCCCACTCCCTGTAGTTAGACTACAGGAAAGACCTTCAGTGAAAGGAGAACTACCTCTTGTCAAGTTGGGTAAGATGCTGTATTAAGGGTTTGCAAGGTCAAGTCACCTGAGGTTTTGCTAATTTCCAACCTATATGAAAGCGGAAAATGTCATGTATGTGGTGATATACATATATCACAGACTGCAGAATTCTATAGTCCGTAGCTGTGTTAAAGTTAGTTATGAATACACAAATCTTCCCACAAATTCAGGCTTACTGAATCAACTTATATATAATTTTTGATGTAAGCTCTTACAGTTTCCAGTTAATGATTTTAGATAGTTTTCTGCTCACATTTGTTTCAACGTAATTTGGTAGAGAGCTAAAAGTCTGTGCTACATGTTTGGGAGAATGGTTTAAATAGGATTTGGGGAACAGCGACTTGAAGGAATCTCTACTGCCAGAAATATATTGAGATTGTATCTATGTTTGGTCTTATTCTTTTGGTTATGACTTAAGAAAGTATTATTTGTGTATGTATGCCATCTTTCATCCAAGAGAAATGACCAGAGATTCCCAGAGAGATTAGTATCACAGACTGGGCACGAGGGCACAGAACACAGGTTTATTGACTACGTAAATAGCTCTGTTACTTGGAGGAAAATATCTTCATAGGCCCCTGGTCTGTTATTGAGAATTTCACTATGCAGAATCTCCAAGGCCCTTCTGAGTTTATTGCATACTTAGGTAACAAGAATTGGATGCTATTTGTACTTGATCAGTTTTTGTTTGATTTGGTCCCTTGACAGAGGCAGTTAGTCCCCTTATAAGATGGAAACTTTATGATTATATTGTGGATTTATTTTCTGAATAGACACTTTATTAAGGTTTTTCATTCATAAGTGGGAATGATGTTAGAGTCATGTGATCCAGGCATCTGTGAGGCTGGGGCAGAGGACTTCAAATTCTAGGCCAGACTGGATCACATAGTAAGTTCATGGTTAGTTCATGGTCACTTACAGAGCCAAACTAAATCAAGCCACCAACCAATCGAATAACATTAACAGAAAGATCTTATATTCCTAACGTTAGTTGGGAATTTACATTTTATAGAGATATTGCTGGTTGGTCAAAATAAATCATACAGGAGTAAAGTATGGGCGAGAAGGCATCCTTGGCCATTCAATCATTGAGTGTAATTTCAAAAACAACATTTTCTCCTGCCAGATTTTGGGAAGGTTTTTGTTTTTTTAAAAAAATATTTTATTTATTATTTTATTTTATGTGTCTGAGTGTGTTGACTGCTTACATGTAAGTGCACTTGTGTCATGCAATCCCCTCAGAGGTCAGAAGAGGGCGTCAAATCCCCCTGGAATTGGAGTTACAAATGGTTGTTAACCACCATGTGGGTGCTGGGAATCGAACCCAGGTCCTCTGTAAGAGCAGCCAGTACTCTTAACCCCTGAGCCATCTCTCGAGCCCCTTAGGAAGGTTTTTATATTGAGGTGTTTTTAAATGTTAAAGGAAAGTGTGAATGACCTGTACTTGTGTCTACCTTGTTTGGAATCTGTAACTTGTGCAACTGAATAGACAGGAGAAAGGTCAGTACTGCAGAAGACTAATAGGACCTGCCTGCATGCTCATGGGGACCCACTGCTTCCAGTGGTTGGTTGTGTTTGTAGAGGGGATGAACGGTGAGAAGAAAGACGAGAGAGGAACGAGGTTTGGGTTGCTGTCATAGCTGCTCATCTGAATGAGTTTAGAATCTTACTGTGTTTTAATCTTTAGCTGGTATCAAAGTGCAATCTATTTTTCCATGTTGAAATCCCATATAGTCTTTGTTCTATATTTTAAAATTTCACACCTCGTCTTGGATGTAACTTGCTTAACCTAAAGAATACCCTGCAGCTCTCCTGGTATGTGGCTGTCCGTTGTACTTATCTGTCCTATTTCCTGCCTTTCTGTTTTCATCTTGATGATTGACAGTTGTGTAGACACTCATATTTCATTGCAGAATTTCTTTCCAAAATAAATCAATGGAAGCTTTACTTTGGCACACTTTCTGATGAGGATGATGATGATGATGATTTAGCTAACATTAAGCATATGAAGTGTGACATACTTGCCAAGCACTGGCGTGGGTGTTCAATCTTCAGGATTGTCTTTGCAGTATCAACCACATCACACCCAAAGAGTTTAATACAAATAAAAGTCAGGGCCTACTGCAATCATCAAAGGACCAGGCTGCCAGCCATCTTTTCACCCCGTGACTTGGGTTTCCAGCTCCAATGTTCTATTTTTTTTCTGTCTTTTTGAGATAGGGTCTCCCTGTAGCCCCAGATGTCCTGGAACTCACTATGTAGACCAGGCTGGCCTTGAACTCACAGAGATCCGCCTGCCTCTGCCTCCCAAGTGCTGGGATTAAAGGTGTGCGCCACCACGCCCGTCCCAGCTCCAATGTTCTATCTGTTCACCTGCCTTCCTAGTGGGATCTCACAGAAGACAGGAGGGATACAATGTTTATTTTGTTTGTTCTTCTGTTTTCTTTTTTTCCCAGATTGTTTCCTACGTGATATTGCTTTGTATCTTCTCTGTCTTGCCTGCCATTCAGAGAAAGGATGAAAATCACCTTGGTCATAATCAAAGCACACCTCTAGGTGGCATGAAAGAATCCCTTTTCTCTAGAGTAAACACTCTGACCTCTTCGGCTGGACTCTGCAGCAACTGACTAGACAGTTTTTAAACGTGGTATTTTACTTATGGGCTCATTAACTATTTCTTCTTCTCTCGAGCTGTTCAGGTCTCATCACATTTATAACTGTTATTCCAGAGTCACTTTTACTATGGAAAGAGGGAAAAAAACCACACACACAATCTTGGAAGGATTTTGTATTAAATTTCTGCATGTTTTTCCCTTTAAGGTTTATTTTTATGTATCCCAAGTCCTGTCAGTTCAATCACCCACTTTAATTACACCCAGTTTGTGAATTCATAAAGAAATCTTACTGTTGGGGTGGAGAGATAGCTCAGCAGTTAAAAGCACTGGCTGCTCTTACAGAGGACCTGGGTTCAATTCCCAGAACCCACATGGTGGCTAACAACCATCTGTAACTCTAGTTCCAGGGGATCCAACGCCTTCTTCTGACCTCCACAGGCATTGCACGACACGGGTGTGCTTATATACATGCAGGCAATGCACTTATATACATAAAATAAAAATGATAAATAAATTATTAAAAGAGAAATCTTATTCTTTTTAAGATAGATGACTTTAATACCTATCAGAATTATTGAGTGATCATCTAAAATATTTTAATTATATAAATTTTTACTGAAAATATCCTCAGTAATTAGATATGAAAACTTTTCACTCTTTAAAATGACTGTTTTGTCCAGTGGCTCAATGATCATTTAATTCCCGTCTTTCAATATGCCTGTGACACCTTTTGTAGTCTTGAAAACTTTTAAATGAACTCAAAAGCGACGATGAGCTCTTTGTTAGTTCTTTAAGATCTAACTCACTTCATCCATATGCATTCAACATTATAAATGTTAGAATTATCAAATTTTCTAGTTATCTTTTTATCTGAGTAGTATGAACTTATTTGATGTTTGTTTACACCAGTTCAATCATTTCAGAGTTCACTTCACCATGGTGTAAATTCCTCCTGACCCCACAGTTTCCTACAGGCCGGGTCCATGTCTGCCTCTCCTGTCTGGTCTCTGCCATTCTGAGGCCTGTGTGCAGTGATTTTCAGGAAACCCAGCAGGTCATCCTCAGTGCATTGATGATTTCAAATATGAAAAATGGATCAAGAGAAATGAGGTCAACCATCTTCATTCTTTTTTAGAGGAACTTAAGTCCCTATCTGTGACAATACCCTCATGTGTCTGTGTCTTCATCATTATTATTTAACTTTTATAGTATGTGAATTACCCATTAAGCCTTATTTTTCTAACCTTAGCCTCATGGGAAAATCTGACCCCATTCTTACTGACTCCAGCTACTAACTGTGATTTTGCACAAAGTATCAAAGTAAAGCTAGCTTGGTTATTCTTGTTTTTAATTAATGGTCATCTGTTCCTGTGGGACACAGTTTGGATTACGTTTCTGGTGAGACACAAAATAGATTACATGAGAAATAAATGCGTCAAAGAAAGGAAAACTTCACTGTTGAGAAGTGTTGGGGGGAAGGACTGTGTCCCTGTGACTCGCTGAAATTGTGACATGCCATCAGGCTTACTGTAAACTAGCCCCTGAGGAATTCTGTGCTGGACAATGAGCCTTAGAGTCTGAGGTGTCTTCTTGCTTTTACAGAGTGACACAGGCTCTGAAACTTCAGGAAGGGGCTGGGCACACAACAGGACGTGGGTACAGTTACTGAGCGACTGCATCTGATTTTCAGGGAAGTAGTGGGGAGAGACTGTGTCTTGAGAAGACAGGCATTTTAGAGGTAACCCTTTTAAGATTTCAATTAGTTATTTAAATGTCTGACTCGTGCTTAAATGATTAGCAACATGCTTATTTCCTGCCTAGCCAGCCTGCGGGGACCCCATTGGTCATAGGCGCAAGTGTTTTGCTGGGAAACGAACGTGATTTTAAAAGAATTGAATGAAAAGTATTTCGGGTATTTTGTATTTAATATCAGGGTTCAGAGCAACTTTAGACAAAGCTGTTATTAACTGGGCGAGAATAAACCACGGCACTGCCTCCGTGCTTATGCTGACGACCTCCTAGCCAAGCAGGTGTAGTAAACACAGGTTGCCTTGTAGTGCGTCATTTCAGATGCTTAGAGAGCATTTTACAGGAAAACATAACACTGAAAAATTACTCAATGAATAATTGCATTAAGAATGAAATTATATCTTCCCTTTGCATGTTTATGGCACATTTTAGATATTTACTAACTTTCTACACAGTCTTTCTTAAGATTTAGGAGCTAACAACATTTTGCCTTTTAAAAATGCCTTATTTATTTATTTATTTGTTTATTTTTTTTAAACTTTAGAAGAAATTAATCTAGGCTAAACAAATTTGGGTTTGAATATTACTCCAAAGGAATACTATGTAAAATTTGAAAGAATAAAATCTGAATGAGATAGACTGGAGAGATGGCTCAGCAGCTAAGAGCACTGGCTGCTCTTGCAGAGGACCCAGGTTCTATTCCCAGCACCCACATGGTGGCTGACAACTGTCCTTAACAATTCCAGAGGAATTCCATGCCCTCCTCTGACCTCCCCAGACACTGCATGACACGGGTGCACTTGTGCACATGCAGGCAATACACTCATACACATAAAAATCCAAAAGAGAGCATGTAAGTTATTTTAGTAGCTTGAAGTACAGGGAATATTGAAATGTAGATGAAATGCTCACATGAACCAACCACATGCTTATTGCAGATCCCTTTGTCCTTTTTGTTGCTAACTTAAATCTGTGGGTTCTTTCACATACTTACCCATTTGTAGCCAGGAAGGGTCCCATGGCGAAGTAGACTCTAAAAGAAATGACTTAAGTGTTATGAGCAAAACCAAGTTCATATTATTCAAATAAAAAGACTGCTTCACCATTATCCAATATTACTTTCTGTAGACTCGAGTCTTAAAAATAATTCATATGGGGCTGGGGGTGTAGCTCAGCTGGTATTGTGCTTGTTAGCATGCAAGAGGCCCTGGACTTGATTCCTACACTCCATAAACCAGGTATGCTGGTATGTAAGTGTAATTACAGTTCCCAGGAGGTGGGACAAGAGGGTAGACATTCAACATCACTCCTGACACGTGGAATGTAGAGAATGTTTGAGGCCTGTCTGAGCTAAGTGTGACCCTGTCTCGAAAACAATAAAAAACAAAGAAGGACTTCATACAAAAGTGGCATTTAAATATTTAAATACTTCAATATATGTAAGTACTTTAAATATTTAATTATTTAAATACCTTTTCTACAATTCAGATAGAGGATTGTGCTTTCAAAAGGTGATCAGGTTACTGAAATAATTTTAACTAATTAAATTACTTACTGTGTCCTGAGTATTAGACCCGGGGTCCCTAACATGCTAGGCCACCTCCTTACTTCACATGTGAAACACTGAAATAGTGCTATTCTAGAATGATTGGAAAGAAAACTCAACATGCTACACATCACATAAAGAGTTGTGGAGTGAGGAGGCAGGACAGAAGGAAAGGCCACTGGAGGCTGCACGTCTTAGAATTACTGGATTTGTCTTCGGTTATCAATGTGTTCTCCATTAATGTATCTTGTCAGGATCTATTTTCATGGAAAGAGTACTGGTCTGGAGTTTGAAAGCCAAGCCTCTAACCCAACTCCACTGTGAGATCATCAGTTTGATCTTGCTTAAGTCAGTATTCCCTCTGGTTTTCATCTTCTGGGACGTTGAGAACCGTGGTAGACCCTGAGTCCACCTGATACCCAATGCTTTAAATGTAAAAGCGTGAGTGCTTGGCCACCACTGAAGAACAGAGTGCCACGCTGACTCTTTTGGGCAGTAGTAAACAGCATTCTTAAGTAGTCTTAAGAATAACGTTAATGTGCTTTCTGTAGATTATCCAAATCCTGTCAGGGCTCAAGTTCAGCCCTTAAATCCTATTGAAATCCTTGGTTCCAAAAAACTTAAAGAGTAGGTAGGAATTAACAAACTGAACACTAAAATCTTAATTTAACCACATTTATTGTGTTTTGGTAAGTGGGATTTACTGTCCTAGCAGATGGCCCCGTCCAAATACATTGCTCTATACAAGCTAAGCGTGTATTGTTTGATTTTCAACTTGACCTTTGATTGCTGTTGTTACCAAGTGGCTGTCCAAACGCAAGAGGGCCAGAGAAAAAGAGCAAACAGTGCCTCATGGGTTTAATAATTAATAACCCGATATGTCACCACAGAAGATCATGGATCAGCCTCATTACAGTGTCCTCCTGGCGGGATTCTAACCTGTATGAAAAGCAGTTATTCTTTGGTTTCCCAGCAGGAATCAGGAGGGGTAAACGATGTGCAGCTCCCTGAGCCCCAAGGTGCGTGGTGGACCTGGCCTGTCCGATTTGCATCAGTACAGCCAGTGGCTGGCCAGCAGACATGAAGCCAATTTGCTACCGATGAAAGAAGACTTAGCCCTGTGGTTAACCAATCTATTAGGTAAGGTTATAAGATACCAGTCTGTGAGCAATGATAATGGCTTCTTGTGTCTGTTACAGCCTCTCATCCTGTCCTTCACCCAAACACGTGATAACACCTTTGAAAGAAAGACTTGCATTATTTGGAATTTTCATCTGGGAAACCCAAAGCTTGTGGAAATTTAAATGAATTTCCCAGTGCCTCTGACATTGGCTGTGTTTCGTGATTCCAACATCCTGAAATGTGGAAATACACGGTCAAGTCGCTTATTCAGTTAGTGTGCTGGTCTGACTGAGCTTTGGCTCCTCCGTGTTGCAAGTGGGCACTTCGCTCTGTTCCTCAGTCACTGCTCACAGGCTGCAAGCCCTGGGAGACGAGCTTCTGAACTGGATTTCTTTGCTCCACTTTCCCAGCACACCTTCCAGAAGTGCTGAGGATTTCAACCCAGGAGCAAAAATATCCATCTTTGTCCAAATGACCTGACCAGAGTCATTCAGTCTTAAAACTATTTTTTTTTCTTTTTAATTGGCCTTTGTTTTTATGCAGTGTTCTATTGGTATTATTGAGAAAAATACCATTGCGTGATGAAGCTGCTTCTTCCTTTGTCTGACGTGTTCTGAGGGTGAAAGTTCAACCACGAAGACTCCAGGTTTATGTTTAAAGGATCAGCGTTTATTTGGCAATACCATTCCCAGTAGTAGTTTTCCCCATACATTGAGATCATCTCCCAACGTTAGGACAGGATCCTATGGTGCTTGCAGGATATAAGCTTGGACTGTTAAGTAAAGAGGGCACCTGTGGTGCTTTAACCTCCACAGAGGGGGTCCCACCCACACTGTTTTACTACGGAAGCAAACCTTCAAAGGGCAGTTCTTCACTTTCTGGTTGGTAAGACTAAAGGCTCAGGAGAATCTAGCAAAGATTAGAAAGCACTTAGGGCCTCTCGTAAGGTTTCTCTCTGCTTACCCTGGTTGGGAAATTTTGCATGGATTTTGTATTTATTTGCTTCCTTTAAAACCTGTCCTGTGAGGAAGCACTTAGTTTTTCTTCATCATGTCCCCTATTTTGGCCACGTTTTTGGTTAATCATAGTATCTGTTTTGTAGCTTGCTGTAGAAATAAATATTTAAAATATGTATAGTACTTAGCACAGTTCCTGGCATGTAGTTAATATTATATATGTTGTTATTCCATTTCTTAAGTTCAGTGAAGTTGTTAATTTTATTTTGTGCATAAATTCATTCACTAATCCAATGAATATCTGCGTCCACACAAGTATAATACAAGGGTTTAAGGAACAGACTCAGGAGTATGACTGTGCCACATCTGTCTTGGTTCAGTCATGTATGCTGTGATACTGAGCAGTACGTGCAGGATGCCCTGTGACCAGGTGTTTAATCTAGATAGCTGCTGCATTCCACACATGGTCTGTTCATCCTGGAACACAAAGTAATAATTAAAAATGAACACAGCCTTACTTTCAAAGTTTGGAGGATATTAGCAAAAAAACTCCACATTCCAAAGCAATGGAACAGGCCAGAGAGGGGGCTCAGCAGTTCAGAGCACTGGCTGCTCTTGGAAATGACCCCAGTGGGGTTCCCAGCACCACATGGTGGCTAACAGCCATCTATAACTCCAGTTCCAGGGGATCTGATGCCCTCTTCTAGCCTCTGTGAATCACATAACATGAATGCACTTACATGTATGCAGGCAAAACACCCGTACAATTGAATCGGTAACATACTAACTGGACTCATCATAAACTAGAAGACTGTGTTTCAGTGAGAAATGAGGTCGAGCAGGACAAAACATCCAGGAGCCTGGGGTCCTCTTTAAGGGTCTTGTATTTGAACAAGAACTGAAGAATGACTAACAGCAGGCTAGATGATGCATAAGACATTTGGGGGGAGGGCAGAACATGTTCTCAGGTTGGAAGGAGCTTGATATCCCGGATGAGCTGATCAAAGGCTCATGTCAAAGAAAGACAGAGTTTTATGAGACTTTCTAGAGCTAAATCATGCACTGCTATGTAAATGATATTAAGGAGTTATAACCTATAGTGTGATCACCAAGGGCTCATGGGGAAGTTTAGATGGGAGAAAGTGTGATTTAGTAAAGTATACCCTGGTTACGCAGGCATCACCCAGTATCCTTGACTAGGTCATCAAAAATGGCAGAAAAGTGTGATTAAGTTCAGTATACCCTGGTTATACAGACATGACCCAGTGTCTCTGACTAGGTCATCAAAGGTGTTCTATTTAGGGAATGTGATCATTTACAAAGTATCATGATCAGTGTGAGCAGGTCCACACAGTCTCAAAGAATAGAGCCAGTGTGTGATGGAACTATGCTTGGATTAGAGGTCAGGAGACCTGGCTCCTCTCTGGACATCAGGAGACCTGGCATCAGTTTCTGGCCGTCCCGACGGCAGGAAACATGCCCAGAGTCATTCAGCTATCTGTTTTGAGCTCTGAGTCCTCAGCCGTAAATGGAGGAGCCAGAAGGAATGGTCTCTAATTGCCTTTCCAGCTCCCCAAATCTAAATTTTCAGGAAATTCATCTCTGGTGATCCAGTTTGGGTCAGTCAAGGTCATCAATATGCATAAATAAGCATGTAAAGAATTATAGGAGTGGATGACCTTTGAAGAGTAAGACTGTTTGGATAAACATTAGTAGTTGTAGCAAACAAAATTACTGATTTATGAAACGTTCTCAAGAAAGGAACCCTAAATGTGTCTCAGGATGTAGTAACTATCACCTTTGAATTGACCTGAATTCATCTGAGGTAGACAGATGCTAGACCTCAGGGAAACACCTTCATGGCAGTTTGGAAAGGAATGTAAACACTGAGATTGTTTTGAATGGTGAAACATATGGAGAGAATAAAATAAACATGTCTTAGAAAGGCAGAAATATACAGAAAAATAAATATGTGTCTTAGAGTGGAGACACGACAGAGCAGAAGAATACGTTTGTGGCTTTGCTGTAAAATTACTTTCTTCCATGTAGCGGCTACACTTAGTATTCACTTGCTTTGGAAAAGAAGACATAAATGCAAACTTGAAAACTGTGTATCATTGAGGCAGAGGGATGGCTGCGTGATTAAAAGCACTTGCTGCTTCTGCAGAGGACCTGTGCTCGGTGCCCAGCACCTACATCAGGCTCTCACAGCCACCTGTGACTCAGGTTCCAGGGATCAGATGCCTCTGGCCTCCACAGGCACTTACACATAGATAAAAATAAGAAATGAGCCTTTAAAAATTGTTAGTCTATCCCCGAGAACCGTTTGCAGACTTTTACTAACTAGCTCTCTTTCAGGTCTTAGATTTTATTCTCTTCAAACTTAGAGCTCTCTTGGTAACAGTCTCAGTGCTGGGCCTGTTTCCATGCAAGTATCCAAATCCTTCAGTGAAATGGAATGTCCCAGCTATGCTGAAGCTTTCATTTTTTTTTTTTTTGCTATTCTATGGAATAATACTTTCTCTTTTTTTAGTATGCTTAATAGTAGCTTTTAAAATATTTTTCAAAAGAAGTCTCATTGAAGGGTTGGAAAGATGGCTCAACAGTTAAGAATACGTACTGCTCTTTCAGAGGACCCAAGTTCGATTCCTAGTGCCCATGTTAGGCAGCTCACAGGATAACCCCAGCACTGTATATACACACACACACACACACACACACACACACACACACACGCACGCACACACACAATTAAAAATCATAAAATATAAAGAAGAAATGTAAGTGATGAGTTCCTGTAGTTCTGACTCTGACCTCACATATGAACTGTCAATTTTGAAGGCGTACTTTTTAAAGAATGCTAATTTATTTTTGATGTTTCAAAGGCTAAAAATGATTAGATGAAGAAGAAAATGATGTTTGCTAATAGAACAATATTCACATTCACATCCACAATGCACATGACAATATTGTAATTCTCAGATACTGTATTCTGGCTTAGTCAGTAGCAATAATAAATACCATTTTAGAGTTCTAGCATGGAGCTAAACAGAGATGATTAGCTGTTTGGCAAGCTAAAGCTATATATCAGAGTGTCAGGTGCTGCTGTGTTGTGGCAGGTGTCTACTGGAAGTGAGGGTATGGTTGGTGTAGTTGCGATGTATTTCAGGGCAACATACCCACGAGACTCATGAGAAAGTCACTGTGCAATGGTTGTGACTGCCTTCGTCCTTAGCTGTATCTGCTGACCTCATGGGGAGCGTTCTCTGGTGCATTTCCTAGTAATAGCTGGGGTGATGGACCAGGTTTATGATAAACATTCAGAAAAGGCAACACAGGGTTCTTAAGATCCCACTATCTTCAGAAGAAAATGCCGTCTGCTGCTCCTTCGAGCGTGCCTCCCACTACACAGTGCTGACAGGCCTGCTCCATGTTAAATACACATGTTCCCTCTGAATGTTAGGCTTCCTATTCTGTTCTTCTTACTCATAAACCAGCTCCCACCCACCTTTACAACATACCAGGACACTGAAAGCTTATGCCAGACAATCTTGAGGAAACATTTAATGACTTTTTTGAATGCTAGTAAACTAATAGTCCTCGATGACTGCAGCTGCCCATGATGCAGACACTAGGCACATTCTAACTATGTGCCCAGAAGTGGGCTTATGGAGAGAGAGTGTGGGCTTGTAGAGAGTGTGGGCTTGTGGAGCGGGAGTTGGACTGGCTTTGCGGTGAATGTTCTGACATAGATCTTCTCAAAATGCCTGTTTCAGTTGGGTTTTAAAATAGTTTCTATGAACAGTGACTTCTCTGTCTTCTACTTGTTCTATCCCATAATAATAAGTACATGAAACTCTGCTTTAAAGAAAGACTTATAATCATGTGACAATCATCAAAAAGAGTTGACTTTTTTTTATTAAAAATTGTGGGTCTTCAGGATGAAGGCACCTGTGTCTGGATCTGCACAGGGATTTTGAGTAATTTATAAGGTACCCTAAAAGTCCCATTATGCTGAATCAATTTTACTTATATTTAGAAGATTCATTGACAGTTGATGTT